ATATAATATAATGTTACAACAGAAAGTGTTTTGTTTCTCTTCCAGGGAATGTTCTCAGATTAAAAATGGAGAGTGTGGAGTTCCAAGCTTTTAAACTGTATAAGAAGCTTATTTAACCTGGATTATATAAGGGTGCACCGAAGTAGTTTTCTGGCTGATTTAAAAAGTCTGACCTGCCGATTCTGATTTTAGTCGATACCAGTTTTTTTGACACTGTCAGATGTTAAAAGGTCAGAATACACGTAAATGTTTCAATCTTATTTTATTTAAAAACATTGAACAATACCCTATAAACAATACAAACTTGTTTTAACTGGACATTAGGTAGTGCTCACAGCAGATCTTTGTGGAGGTAGATGAGAAGACGATCTTTTCCACCGAAGTACCTCTCAAAATTAGGGAAATTGTCTGTCCGATTCATTGGGGCACCCCTACTAGATTCACATGCAAATTAACCTATACACCTCAGGCAATAGTTATTTTATTAGGGTCTTCTGTTAAAATAGCTCACAAAAGATAACAAATATAGTTTATAATCTTGGAACTCCACTCTCAAATTTTGAATTAAGAAAACTCCCTGGATGGGCTGCAAAACGTCTCCCACAGAATAAACCACAAAATCATGTACAATAGTTTGCCTTCAGGCCTCTCTTGAAAAAGAGATTTGCGTTCTCAATGGGATTTGTCTGGTTAAACAATGGTAAAATAAAAATAAATAAAAGTCTAGCTTTTGTTTAACCATTTTTTAGATTTACCATGTCCTGGATGACTAATTTACCCCAGCATATTCTCTGTGTGTATGGTCTGATGAAAGGATAGCATGGACAGCACACAGACGATTCAGAAATTTGCAACTGTAAAATGTATATTAAATATTATGAGGTGCTTAATTGGAGGAGACTGGAGAGCAGACAGGAAGTCATAGAGGGGCATATACCCTGATTTATTCAATCAATATTAGATCATGGAAGTATTGTCTTTAATTCAGCTTCATATAGATCTCTATAAAAGTTCAGATGCCTTTAAAACATAACCCATAGGATAACTGCAAGATATGGGAAAAGTACCATTAAACATCAGTAGAGATCAGTTAGTTTTAAATATGGGTAAATTATTGGGGTCAGAAAGCACTAAAACCTTGCTGAGCAAAAGAAAAACAAACAAGCAGATCAATCATCCTAATGTGAAATAACCACAAATACGCTCAGATTTAATTGTAGTCTTGAAATCATCAGAGAGGAAGAATAGATTAGCAACTATAGGTGTAACTTGCATTCTCTCCTGCATGTACAGCAGCCTTGATGAAAACAACCTGAAGCACATGAGTGATGGGCAGCAAGAGGCAGACAGCTGCGACGGTTGGAGACCGAGGTCCCGTCGAAACTCCGTCCGGAGACACCGAGAACCTCCTAGGCCAAGATGACTCCACACCGTGTTTCGTCTACGTGTTAGCATTTTTCTCTGCCCTCGGAGGTTTCCTCTTCGGGTATGATACCGGGGTGGTCTCTGGGGCAATGCTGCTCCTGAAGAAGGAGATGAACCTGAACGCCCTGTGGCAGGAGCTGCTGGTTTCCAGCACCGTCGGGGCCGCGGCGCTCTCTGCCCTCTGTGGGGGCTCTTTGAATGGCTGGCTGGGACGCAGGATTTGTATTCTTGTGGCCAGCTTCATCTTCGGTGTTGGTGGCGTTATACTGAGTATTGCCCAGGACAAAGTGGTCCTCCTTGCAGGCAGAATTGTAGTGGGTTTGGGTATTGGTAAGTAACTGTAGCACTATCATTGCCTTCTGTAGGAATAGAGTGGAGTACTTTAGTAATATTTTGTATGTTAACCTGACAGGTATTGCTTCCATGACAGTTCCTGTATACATCGCAGAAGTCTCCCCACCTCACTTGAGAGGCCAGCTGGTCACCATCAATGCCCTCTTCATCACTGGTGGTCAGTTTGTTGCCAGTGTAGTTGATGGGGTCTTCAGTTATCTGAGCCACAGTGGATGGAGGTAGACTTTTTTTTCATGGCTTGTTCTCCGATACATTTTGTGTCATGTTTTTCTCCTTCTTTTCAACCCTTTATCAATAATCCAAACTATTGTTTCAGTGTGACCTTGGCTACTAGCCCTGTTTGCCAAAGTCACCAAATTGTGGGTGTGATTTGAGAGCCAGCAGCCGTTGTCTCTTCCAACATTCTTCTGCTTCACTTCTCCTTCTTTCGACACCGTAGATACATGCTAGGCCTGTCCACCGTACCAGCAGTTCTGCAGTTCTTCGGCTTCGTCTTCCTGCCAGAAAGCCCTCGCTGGCTCCTGCAGAAGGGTCGAAGCCAGGAGGCGTGTCAAGTTCTCAGCCGGATCCGAGGAGACCAGAACATCGACGAGGAGTACGACACCATCAAAGCCAGCATCGAGGAGGAGGAGAGGGAGGCAGGGGCAGGTCAGAGAAACTTGCAAATCCAGAAAACACAGTAGGGAGACTGGTTTTGTTCAGGACAAAGGTGGAAATTCAACTGACTGTTTGAAAGCCTTCACTTTAAATTTCAGGAGGAGTTGTTATTTTGCGCATCCTCAGCCATGGACCGACTCGCAGGGCTCTTGTTGTTGGTTGTGGCCTGCAGATGTTTCAGCAGCTGTCTGGCATTAACACTGTCATGTAGGTTTGCTATTATTTTACTGCATATCCCACATGGTGACCACAGAAGCACCTGGAAACATTCATCAATTCTATGACGCCTCAAAAGATAAAAGCAGAGTCCGTTCTGACTGGAGCTGTCTTTTTCAGGTACTACAGTGCAACCATCCTGCAGATGGCGGGGGTGCGGGATGACAAGCAGGCAATCTGGTTGGCTGCAGCAACTTCAGCCACCAACTTTGTCTTCACCTTAGTTGGAGTCTGGCTTGTGGACAGAGTGGGCCGCAGGAAACTCACTCTGGGCAGTCTTTTAGGTTTGTAACCCTAAAAGTGCTGTTTAGATGATGTCATTGGCTGATGGTTATGGTTTATGGTAAGTGGGGATGGATAAAGAACCCATATGAGCATTGCTCTACCCAAAAAAACACTGGTCTTTATTCAAACCTTCTCATCCCTCGGATGAAGGACACGAGGTAAGAAACACTCGGTGTTCTGAGCTTCTCGGGATCCACAAAGGGGTCCCAACTGCTCAGAGCCAGGCAGTGGCCTAAATAGTGCAAAGAGGTCTCTAATTCAATGCTACAGGCATCACACAGACCATTGTCATGGAGTCCATCACTGTTTTATGGCGGTTGAACAGATTGTGCCCAGTTAGGACTTCAACCAGTGTACTTAGAGTTTTCCTTGTCAGGGCGATGAGAGCTTTCCCAAATCTAAGATTTGGCCTGTTTATCAGTTCCCGTACCTGTGTACACTCTGTCAGCTCCCTTCAGTGGGTTGGGTGATACCGTCTAATACAGGCCTGTAGGACAGTCCTACAGACATGCTCTGGTTCTTTGAAGTGGGCCTTACTGCCAGCTTTTGCAAGGTAGTCAGCTCTCTTGTTACCATTAATGTCAGTATGTCCTGGTACCCATTTATTAGTAACACTGTTATCTCTCCCCAGTTGGTTGACTGCTTCGGCACACTCCCAAGCCAGTAATGATGAAAAGTGTGGCCCTTGGAGAGCTTTAATAGCAGCTTGGCTATCTGTTAGGTTGAATATTTCCTTCGGTGTACATTGAAGTTTTTTGAAAGATCCCACACACTGGTGGACTGCATATATTTCAGCTTGAGATACATTTGCAAAACCACCTAGTGTGTGTTTGCTCTCTCTCTCTCTCTCTCTCTCTCTCTCTCTCTCTCTCTC